TCCCACTCAAAGGTTGTTAGGCCCCCCCGCCCCCACGTCACCTTTGTTCCCCATGTTGCTGACGACATTGTTTGATGCCTTATAGAGAGTGCACTGCAAGAGATCCTGGGGAAAGGTCACCTCTGGGTATAGAAGCAAGAACGGCCCAATGTCTATGAGCAATCGGCTACTTGTTATCCACTGAGATGCATGACCCATTGGGGGTTTCCTTCTCTGGTACCAGAGTAAAACTTGTGATCCAGTCATTAATACCACGGCAGGCATTTCTTGTCTCTCTCTCTCTTTGATGTTCATTTCATTCCTGATCTGTTTTATGCCTCGAGCGTTCTGCTTTTTAAATGTTAGTTTCTCTTCTTCTCCTACCCCTAACTGAAGTCTTCCCCAGGAGATCCAGGGTAGGTCACAAAGGGAACCGGATGGTGTGTAACTGCTCTTTGGCTCCCCGACAGCCTGCAGTGTCACACCCTGCATCAGGGAAGTCCGTCCTGCATGCAGATGTCAGCCCTCAGCTGACAAGTCTTGCATGGCGCCGCTGCTCAGCCGGACACCCTCCAGTTTGTCAAGCCCCAGGGCCGACAGATCATCCAGCTGCTGTTTATGGACACCATGCTTCCCTGAGCAGCAGTTTTCAGAGTGGGCCAGCGCCACTTGGACAGTTGCTGTTGTGGGCTGGTAACACGTTGGCTCTGACTTGGGGTGACCTCAGAAACAACAGAATGAAAAGTTGTCTGCTCTTGCGCCATCGTCATGACCATCCATACACTTGAGTCAGCAGTTGGGGCCAAGGAGCCCTGGTGATGGTGTTAGGTAGGTGTTGGGTGGTTCTAACCCACCAGCTGGTCCTTGGGAGAAAGTTGAGTCTGTCCGCTCCCATAAAGACTTGCTGTTTCGAAAACCTGACTCAGAGTCGCTATCAGTGAGCTGGACTTGCTGGCTGGGGGCTTGATGTGGTGGTTCTGATCACGGTGTCTCTGAATGGCTTCCATCGAGGCACCTCATCTTCAGTCAATATTCTGTTGTGATCGATAGGGGTCCTGTGGGCTAATGCTCAGAAGTAAATCACCAGGCCTTCTCCCTTGCCTATTGTGGTGCCTTGGATGTTGCCGTGATGCTGGAAGCGATGCCATTGGTATTTCAAATGCCAGCAGGGTCACATGCGGTGGACAGCTAGACCTCCCAGACTAGGCAGCGTCCCTGAGACTACTGGTGACAATGCAGATGCCCCAGTTCACCCTCCCTCATACCAAACTCCAGGCCATCAAGTGGAGTCCAGCTCACAAAAACTCCGCAAGGCAGGCAGAAGGGCCTCTGTGGGTTCCTGAGACGGTCACGCTTTACAGGAGTAGAAAGCCCCAGCAGTGTCCTGCACAGAGGCTGGTGGTTTCGAACTGCTGACTTGCGGTGAGCAGCCCCACAGGGAACCCCTGCATCATCAGGGCTCTGTGAGTCAGAATCTCCGGGAGTGAGACTCAGGAAGGAGGCCCTTAAAATAAACTCCCTGATGATTCGGAGGGGTGACAATATTTGAGAATTTTTCTCTGACAAGAATGTTCCAAGACTGACATGAATGGAATCAAGGACGGTTTTAAACTTGTCTGGTCTTGAAAAGTCTTTCAAATCAAAAGTCCTTGTACGGAAATGTAACCCATTGCTGTCAGGTGATGGGTTTGCCTGTCACCGACCGGCTTAGACTTTGAGATATTGGACTGTGAGTGGGTGCCTTGCACTGTGGGGACCCAGGAAGAAAGACGTCTATTCCATGGCTGCTGAGACATCCAGCACAGGATCTGATCACGGGCAATAACCGCCCCTTACGGCATGGGCCCCTCCCAGTAATAGCAGTGAGTGTGCTCTGATCGTGAAGGGGGTGATAATGATGACATCATGTTGGGGATGGGTGGGGAGGATGGCATCAGAGTGCTCAGCGCGTCAGACTTTCTTAACCAGACATCTCTTCTTGCCCTTTGCCCACACAGCTTAGAAAGAGGTGCGGACAGTGAGTGCTGTGCAGGGGAATCAGAGAGCCTGGGGTTCAAATCCTGCCCCTCCACCTCCTGGCTGTGAGCTCTCAATAAAAAGACAAGCCTGCCAGGTTCTCCGTGGCTTTGTGTGCAGGTTCCCAGTCAAGTCTCATAGCAACTCCATAAGGCCGATCTATTCAGAGTAGCCAGGCCACAGAGACGATAAGCAGTTACCGGAGATCACACAGTCAGAGAGTGGCGGAGGCCTGATAGGAACGGAGGCCTGATCAGCCCTGCCCTCAGTCTCGCAGGACCGGCCTCATCCATTGCTCCCTCTGTGAGCCGCGTACCTCTTTCTGCTTGGTTAAGTGGTTCTCCAGATCCTGCACCTTTTTCTTTTCCTTCTCGACGGCCTCCTTGGCTTTGTTTTTCTCGTAGGCAATGCTGGTCTCTGCAATCTGCAAGTCGGTGACAAGGCGTTTAGGGGCGTGGGTATGAAAAAGGAAGGGACAGGACACCACAAGGGGAGCCAGGATTAGGAAGCGTGGAAACCAGTGAGTCAGGGTCTGGGAGCGAGAGAGGAGAGGCAGGGTTTGTGCTCGGCTGCGCATGTGCATTGCGTTCTAGGCTGGGTTTCAGGAAGTGACTTCCTGGTCAGTGTTGAGGTCAAGCCTGAGCCTCTGACCCACCTGACACACGTTGGCAACATGTGACCTCTGCCTGGAAGCACTTGGCTCCTTGGGTGGTAGGGCAGGAGAGCCAAGTCCTGGGAGAGGCTTCTGGTCCTAGCAGGCCTGGCACCTCCCCAGTCTACAGAAGCTTCCAACCTCATGCCCAGGATAGCTTGGATCTGGGAACACGCACCACACTAAGCCTAGTGACAGAGAAGGGCTGCCGGTCCTGAGGAGGTAAGTGGCCAAAGCAGGGTCAAAAATTCTGCCGGTAGCTGTTGAATACCTTGCAATTATACTGCCCACACAAAAGAAAGTTCACAAGAAAACTATTTTTTAAATGTGTATTAGTGGTATAGTTACAAAGCACAACGAAGGGAGTTGGTGTCAATGAATTGTCCGGGCAAATAAATGTTGAATTGGTAATGTTTTATATATATATATATATATTTTCCAGTTTTGAGGGTATCTCCATATGGAATTGTGCTGGGTGGGGGGGGGGAGCACACATTTTGTAGTACACATTTCCCCCCCTGCGTGAGCATTGAGCAACTTGCTCTGAGTTAGTGCACCAGTGGCATCTCCTGGGGAGGTTCTCTCTGGTCACAGTGAATATTTTTGTAAATGTAGTTTCACTCAAACCTCATTTTTTGGGATGGCTGATTTAAGAGAATAGCATGTGAGTGGGAAATTTTGTTTCCTGCTCAAGAAAGATGCTGCAGAAACTATTGTGATGTTGAACACAGCTTACAAGGACAGTACTATAGGAAAAACTCAGTGTACAAGTGGTTTTCTTGTTTCAAAATAGGTGAAATGTTGATTGATGACAAACCTTGTTCTGGATATTCATCAACTTACCGAACGGATGAAAATGTCAATTTGTAGCGCATTTGGAGTTTATTCCAGGAGGTGAGACTGCTAATCAAGCTTTCTGTTTAGAGCAGCGGTTCTCAACCTGTGGGTCATGACACCTTTGGAGGTCAAATGACCCTTTCACAGGGGTTGCCTGATTCATAACAGTAGCAAAATTACAGTTATGAAGTAGCAATGAAAATAATTTTATGGTTGAGGGGGGTCACCACAACATGAGGAACTGTATTAAAAGGTCAAGGCATCAGGAAGGTTGAGAACCACTGATTTAGAGGTTCTGAAAAGATTGTGTAACAGCGTGTGACAAAAAAAGGCCTGATTTGTGGCAGATGGGGCACTGGTTTTGCCACCACAACAATGCACCTGCTCACACAGCCATCTCAGTGTGCCAGTTTTGGGCAAAAAACAGCATGCCTCTCTTGCCTGAGGCATCTGAGTCACTTGACCTCACTCTGTGTGACTTCTTTTTGTTTCTGTGAATATAGAGGGACATGAAAGCACAGCAAATTGAATACGTAGAAGAGGTGAAGAAAAAAACGACGGAGGTGCTGTCAGCCATCCAAACAGATGAGTTTGGAAAATATTTCCAAGAATGGAATCGCAGATTTGACAAATATCTAAGTGTAATGGAGAGTACTTTGAAGGTGATAAGGTTGGTTTGTAAAACAATTTAAATACATAGTTTTGAAAAAAAATCTGGTTTTGGGGGTACAGCCTCACATGCATATGTAAACAAGAAAACGGGAGAAGATGTACTATGATGCAAATTGGCACACTCTGCGTCAGGAGTTGGGATTATAGCAATTTATAGTTGCTCTTTTCACTAGTCCATAACTTCTACATTTTCCTTAGTGAGCATGCATTGTTGCAAAAACCACCACCACTGGAGCCAAAAAACCCCAAATAATTAACTTTTGCTTTTTAAAGAACCCTTCAGCCTTCCTCTGTGAGAGCTAGTCCAGGCGAGGAGGCTGTTAGGAGGGCAGCGCCTGTGGACCTGGAGAAAGGACTGTTGTTTCCAATGGCCATGACCTTTCAGCCTAACATCCTTGGCCCTCTGCCCGCCTCATCCCACGTTTGCACCATTCTCCCTACCCACCCTGGACTCTGCCCTCACCTGGGGAGATCTGAGCTCATTACACTGCCAAATCCTTGCTTGAGCCTGCCCAGCCCCCCGTTGCTAGTGGAGGGCCTGCCTGACAGCTGGTTCCTCTGGCCTTTCCTTCTCACGGCCCCTTCTCCTGCAGTGGGGGGCGTCCCTTCTCTTGCAATGCTGCTTGCAGTGTGTTGTTGTTGGGTGCCATCAGTCTGTTACGACTCGTAGCGACCCTATGAACGACAACATGAAACACCACACGGTCCTACGCCATCCTCACAACTGCTCTCTGTTCGAGCCCAGAGCCCACCGTCGAAGCCACCGTGTCAGTCCATCTCGTCTAGGGCCTTCCTCTTTTTTCACAGCCCCTCTACCAAGCACGGCGGCCTTCTCCAGGAACGCATTTCTCCTGACAGCGTGTCCAAAGTATACAGGAAGAAGTCTTGCCATCTTGCCTCTAAGGGATACTCTGGCCGTACTTCTTCCAAGACGGGTCTGTCTGTCCTTGTGGCAGCCGCTGGTCCTTTCAATATGCGTTGTCAGCACAACAATGCCAACGCGTGGCTTCTCCTCCGGGATTCCTTATTCAATGTCCAACTTTCACGTGCATATGAGGTGATTGAAAACACCTTGGCTTGGGTCAGGGGCACCTTTGCCCTCAAAGAAATATCCTGGCTTTCCAACACTTTACCAAGGTCTGTGTAGCAGATTTACCCAATGCAATGCATCTTTTGATCTCTTGACTGTTGCTTCCAGGAGCATTAACTGTGGATCCAAGCAAGACAACATCCTTGACAACGCCCATCTCTTCTCCATTTATCATGATGTTATGTATTGGTCTAGTTGCGAGGATTTTGGTCTTTCCCATTGAGCTATAATTCATACTAGAGACTGCAAGCCTTGATCTTCATCCGCAAGTGCTTCAAGCTCTCATCACTTTCAGGAAGCAAGGTTGTGTCATCTGCATTGTTAATAACTGTGTTAGGCTGGGCTGTCTAGAGAAATACAGTCAATGACATGCATAGATGTATAAGAAAGAGCTTTATGTCAACAAGTAATTTTATATCAAGAAGGCATTCCGGCCCAGTATGACTTAAATCTGTAGGTCCAAAGCTTCCTGGGGCCCTCTTCAGACTCACAGAACTGCTGTCTGATGCTGGAGAGCGATGGAGTGGGATGCTGGAGCATCAGAGGACAGTGTGCGCAGTCTCTTAGATCCAAAATTGGTGGAAACATGGCAGGGTTGTGGACAGACCACATGGGGTGGCTCTCAGAGGCAAGCAGATTTCCAGTAAAGCAGGAAGGCAAAGAAGCAGAAAGAGTGTGTCCACTGTCTTTCACGCTCACACAAGAAGGCTTGCGACACTGAGGAAGTGGCATCAGGCTGCTGCCCAGTTGATAGATTGGGCCCTGCCCCTATTCTAACCCAGGAGTGTGTAGTTGACAGAATCCTTAACTGTCACAATGAGCCTTCCTCCAATTCTGATGCCCCATTATCTTCATATAATCCAGTATCTCTAAGGACTTGTGCCACATACAGATTAGATCAATATGTGAGAGAGACAATCCTGATGCACACCTTTGCTGATTTTAAACCACGCAGTAGTCCCTTGTTCTACACGAACAGTCTACCTCTTGATCTATTTACAAGTTCCAAAGGAGCATAACAAAGTATTCCTTAATTCCCATTCTTCTCAAGGCTATCTGTAGTTTGCTAAGATTCACACAGTTGAATGTCTTGGCATAGTCAATAAAATTCAAGTAGACATCTTTCTGGTATTCTCTATGTATAGCCAAGATCCTTCTGCATCAGGAATGCTATCCCTTGTTCATGTCCTCTTCTGAATCAGGCCGGAATCTCTGACAGCTTCTTAATCAATGTACCACTGCAACCATTGCTGAATAATCTTCAGCAAAATTTTATTTGCTTGATATCAATGATATTGCTCTATAGTTTGAGCATTCTGTTGGGTCACCTTTCTTTGGAATGAGTACAAATATGGACCTCTTCCAGTCAGTTGGCCAAGTAGCTCTCTTCCAAATTTCCTGGCATAGGTGAGTGAGTGCTTCCACTGCTTCATCAGCCTGTTGAAACATTTCAATTGGTATTTGATCACTTCCTGGAGCCTTGTTTTTGCTTTCAATGCTTTCAGTGCAGCTTAAATTTCCTCCTTCAGCACCACTGGGTCATGCTCATATGCTACCTCCTGAAATGGTGAAATGTCGACTAGTTCTTGTTAGTACAGTGACTATGTATTCTTTCCATCTTCTTTTGATATCTCCTGCATCATTCAACGTTTCATCCATAGAATCTTTCAATCTTGCAACTTGAGGCTTGAATTTATTTCTTCAGTTCTTTCAGTTGAAGACACGCAGTGTGTTCTTCCTTTGTGGGTCTCTAATTCGGGGTCTCTGCACATTTCATTATCATATTTTATTTTGTCTTCTCTAGATGCCCTGTGAAATTTTTTGATCAGCTCTTTGGCTTCATCATAGTAGGAGTAGGAGTCCTGCTGGTGTAGTGGTCACGAGTTGGGCTGCAACCTGCATGGTCGGCAGTTTGAAACCACTAGCAGCTCCGAGGAAGAAAGGCTGGACTTTCTACTCCCATAAACAGTCACAGGCTTGGAAACCCACAGGGGTCATGATGAGCTAGCACTGACTTGATGGCAGTGAGCTTGGTTTTTGGACTCTGAAATTAAGAGCACGTTTCAGAGTCCCTTCTGACTTCCACTTTGATCTTTTCTTTCCTGTCTCTTAAATGAC